CGTTCCAAATTGAAAATCGACTGCAATTGCCGACAAAAATCAGTGTTATCATTATCTGATTGATACTGAGATCGAAATTATGACGGCATCTAAAGTCAATAGTTCGATCAACCTGGGCGCTTGTGTTGGATTGGGAGAGACCGTAGCTGCTAATGTTCGGAACAGTACCAAAAGAGAACATGATCGACTTGATTCCTATGCAGGCAATGATTTTTTTGATGATGAAAATTTTCGAGCTGCTCTTGAACGTATGAATGGTGGTCAGTGTTCATGCTTTTTCTTCTTATTTCACAAATTCTCACGGTATTCATCTTGATTTGTTCGTTTTTAGGCTATGATATCGCTCAAGATCTAATTCGCATGATGGAAGATTATTGTGAAATCGATCGAAATCATACTCAAAACCTCCTATCATTCAGTCGAAAATGGATCAAACATTTCAAAAATCAGCCCATGATCTCATCATATCATACAACCAAACGTGCTCAAATCGATACGATCCATATTGCAAAACATCTTGCATATATTAATGATAATCGTTGCAATGCTTTGCAAGACATAATTAATAATTATCGTAGACTTATCGATGAGACTTACATGCATGTTCATTTTACACGTCGCTATGAACATTGTCGATATCGTGAATTCAAAAAACTCTTCAAAAGTGCTCATATTTCTCTAGTCAATGCAAAGACAAATCTCGATAAATTACATGATCGAATCCATCGCATAGAACAGACTATTCTGAATACAGATAAAAATTTCGAAAAAATGGCAAATAATGAAGTTATCAATGAAAAAAAACTAATGAGCAAATCAATCATTCACACTAAATACGAAACTGAATTAAAGCGACTTGAAACAAAAATGAAAAAAGCTGAAGAAATCTATGCTAATACTAAACAAGCATATCGAAAGAAAGCGAAAGAGATTTTTTCCCAATGTCAACAAATTGAAAAACAACGTCTGGAACAAATACGAGAAATTCTTCTCGTATTTATTCGCACAATGCATATATGAAAATATGTTCCTGAAATCGAAAAAATCTATGATGAACTTATTTCCAACATCACTACTCAACAAAATTCATTGGAAGATTTGGTTTTTTGGGCACACACCTATGGCATTGACGACAATGAAAGTGTTTTAGTTCCTTTGTCGAATGCCGACTTGCAAACAACGACCAACGATGAACTCCGGATTACAATTGCATCCACAACGATTGAAAGTAGTGCTATAGATGACAGCGACAAAGAGCACAAATCTAAAGATAAACAACAATAATTGCTAGCAACAATTAGTCAAAAGTTCAATGATTTCGAACGATAAGACGAAAGTTTGCACTATTGAATCTACTCTAGAAAGTCAAGATGTATCTGATATACAATAGAGATATGCGAATATATGTTAGACGGTATGGATGTGAGGGGGAGGGGTGAACTAGAGTGAGAGTTGGAATGTGTTTGAGGCTGTGGGTCTTCTCTTATATACATCTACACCCATGTCGTATAATTCAAAAATTATTCTTGAAGATTGACAAAGGACAAAAATTTATCAACAATCAAATGTACTCCGGGTTAGACATCTCGATTTTAATTTCTTACATCTTGGTGTACTTATCGACACATAGTATATTTTTAACAGGCTTAATAAAGAAAGCAAACATGAAAGTGTAACAATCACTGTTCTAGGTCTCATATGGAAGAAACGTTAATTGATCATAAATTTAACTTCGAACGAAGTCTATCCATTTAGCCTTGAACATTTTTTACTTTCTAATAAGGAAAATCAAAAGCTACACGAGCACTATCGTGAGAAAGTTCGGCATGTTCAAGAGCTGCCTGATCATTTTAGAGACTATTGCAGGCTGTTGATATGTTGACATAAATCACATACATCGAGAAATAATTAGGAGTTGTTAACAATTCTTGAATCTTACGTGATTTCTCATAAAACATAGAGGTATCGGATCTCATGTTCATGGATAAATATATTGAGGCAATAGTGCCATAACAATAGTAGCTACACAATGTTTCGTCTTGTTTTCTTCACTATTTCAGAGTCTCTAGAAAATCTCGTTTCAAACGCACCGAAGAAAACCGAAATTTAAATGCTTGAAAATGTGATATAGAAAACAAAACAGCAATCATATGTTGACAAATAGTTAAATATCAAGACTTTCCTAATCTTCAATTTCTTTTTGAAAATTACTGATAAAATTTGATTTATTCTATTAATTCGAAAACAAAATAATCTATTCCAGTATTCTCGTATTCTGATTATAAATTTTTAATAAATAAAACTCAATTTGAATGTGGATGTTTGGTTAAAATGGATATTTCCAACCATATGTTCAACTCAATTTCGTCAACAGCAGGAAAAAAATTAAGATAATGTTTTTCACTCGATGTATACGGTGATTGTTTAATCTTGTGCTTATATTGAAATAAAAAGAAAATATATTATTGATTCATAAAATTAATCTCCAAGAGAAAAAAAAACAATTTTTTATTATACCGCAACTAGTTGGCGAAGAAATAAATCGAAGAATTGTCAATAAAACCATCAAAGAAAACACTTTATACTCACTAAGTGTTTGTCGAAATCAAGGATTGCTGAGCCTCATAATTCTGAAATCAGCAACCTAAAATAGTTCTTTATTATCATCGTACATTGCTCTTCTAATGGGTTCGAAACAAACCAAATTATAAGCAAATCGGCATTTTGATAGAGACAGTGATAAAAGGAAATTTGACAAAGTATTCAAACAAAAGAGATCATGCTATTTGAAGATTAGATGAAGACGAATATACCATCTGAAAAACTATCGCTCCTTCATTCTTGTAAATAGTTCCATAGTTTTCTTCTCTTTATCATAAAGAAACTATTGTTGGAATTCAGTGAGACGAAATTCAATCTCTTGTGTAGTGCCAGAAGGAAAAAAAGACTCGCATCTTTTTTCAAAAGGAGACTTCAAAACACAAGACAAACAACATAGCGTTGTTTCAGATTTCTACTACAGCAGATTTAGCTATTGCAACTACAGATATTTTGGAATGCACTATTTTCCAGTATATATATGAGCGACGCATATGTAAAAAAAACTTTTATCTATACAGTGGATACGCAGCTACTTTCGCTCTCGGTGACAGTCAGCACATTTCCTTTTCACCTTTTGAGGCATCGATCTGTAGCAAATATCAAAATAGCACATTCGATATTTTCCTACGTGCGATATCTGCTATTTGAGGGTGTGGGTGTGGGTGGCTGGGTGCGAATGTGGTATGGGTGTGTGCAACAAAGACCAACACGCAGGCCCATCTACACCACACACCCACACCCTTTAATAAAGAAAAAAACAACAGATCTTCTGATGTCTGCATGCGGTTATCATATTTTCATCAGCGATGTACCGATGGTTTAGTCGTACACTCCTTATCATTCAGAAAATATTATCTTGTCATGAATTAAAAGTCTTCCGATGCTACCTGATCAATTTTATGCACGATCGTATAGTATTGTGGAGTTCTCACTTGCAAACAGTCGATGCATAGAGAAAATCCATTGTGGCAAATAGTTGCTCCCTATATCTTATCTATACTAATAACTTCTATTCGATGCTATGATTAGACTCTGATGATTTTCTCTACTTTCTATTATTCAACGTCGAATAAAAGTTATTCGTGTACTTTTTCGTATCAATATTCAACGACAAACTCTTGGAATATTCTGATGAAACTTATTAAACTGACAATTTGCGATCTGCATGCGAGAGTCAATAGTATTTATTATCCTATAGATGTATCGACTATTTCAAATATCGATCCGTCGACTTCAATTCCAATAGCAATATAAGATATCGATCTTGAACTGATAGATCAATCCGCGCGGCAAAAATTGCTTGATTAAACCTTTTCTTTTTACTTTTAATATTTCAATTTTTTATTTATTTCACATTCATTAAAATTATAATAGTCAATAATTTTTAATTTTCTTGACAGGGCAATTGTCTGTGATTGTCGACAGATGCTTATCCCGCTATGTAACTGTAATATCCCTTATTGTCAGTATGAACTATTACAAACAAGGATTATAATATATTTGATAAACAATTCACATACTTAGAATTCATTCAATTGTGAGTTCGATGAGTGATAAAATAAAAGATGAATAGAGATCGCCCCTCTCAATTATAAATTATAATTCGAATTTTTTTCTGCTTTTCTACTAAAGTAACAGAGGTCATCCTTTTTTTTCGAAATTTTCATTTATTTTCGAGCTCGAATTAGGCATCTACTCAATTATTATGTAATCTTGAAACGATTAATAGATTTAATTCTACATAAATTTTAGACAGATTTCAAAATTCAAATTCATTAAGATTCTACAATGCGTGACATATATCTGCACTATAAAATAGATATAAAAAATCAAAATTACGTTTTACCGAATAAATTTTCTAATAATTGAAAAATAAGAAAAGACTCGAAAATTTTTTCTTCAGCTCAATTAATGTTCTTATCAGACAAAAACTTAAGTCCACAACAAAAAATATTTATATATACGGAGCTAGCTTCTAGTGATTGCTCACACAAGTGAATTTTACATCCAAATAAAAAACTTTTCATTTCTTTATTTTGCAATCTGTTTTTGATCTTTCAATCGTTTTTATGCTTTTCTGTAAAGCAGTGCCCTGAAGAGTGTTTTAATTTTTATATAAATAGACACGAAATGCGTCGATAAAATATTAAATCTGAATTTCAATTTTCAAGATATAGATCATGATCTATTTCATTTTATTTAATTGACCTGGTAAGCAGAATGAAAATGGGATATGTAAGGTTACGCATTGACGAAAAACGATTTGTTGTATAAAAGCAAGAAAAACGAAACAGAAGTTATCACTCAACTTAACATATATAATGTAAAAGGCAAGACTTCATCGTTGTCTTTTAAATTATTACAAAGTGTCATTTAATACGTTGAGTGATTAGTGTCTATTATTTTCCCGTGCAATAAGCATCGCCATAATCATTGATATAAGCACTACTAATGAATCGGAATGATGATGGATATGCACCGTCGATTTTTATACCCATGTAAAAAACACCAAAGTTATCCGTAGCATATCCATTACCCACATATTTAAATGTATTTGCATATGCATTCGCAATTTTTTTTCCCATATAGAATACGTTAAAATTATCCTTAGCGTATCCGTTACCAACTAATTGAAATGAATTTGCATATGCATTATCAACTTTTTTACCCATATAAAATACGTTGAAATTGTCTTTAGCATATCCATCACCAATCACTTGAAATGAATTTGAATATGCGCCGTCAACTTTCTTGCCCATAAAATAAACATTACTATTGTCCTGGGCATATTGCCAGTATACACTACATATGGTAACTTGTGATGTCTGATCAGTACGAACAATATTACTAGAATATCTTCTTTGTGCATGTTGATCTTCATTGAATTCTCCTTGGCTGTCACTATCGCTCTCCTCCGAATCGATATTCAATCGTTTGGCCAATAGGTTCATTAGTGCTGCTTTTGATGAGTCTTGTTCGGTCATAAGTGCTCGTTCAACTTCCTTTCTAGCTGTTGTTTGAGGAAGAAATATCATAATGAGGAAAGATACAAGACTCAACTGCATAATTGTTATTTTCGTTGGATTGATAAACAAAACGGCGTATGTGAAACTTTACTTGTAATATTCTATATCGTTGTTGGTTTTATTCCTACTCAAAATAGGAACAATTATCCAATGAATAATCCCGGCATAGTATTTCGATTCACGATGAAAAGAAACGAATAAAGTATTGCATTTCTTGTCACTATATCAATAGCGTCATATTGAATTGTGTACACATTAAAGAACATTGTAAAAAAAGCAAGAGAACGATTATGTTTTATTATTACTTTTTGAATAACAAGGACACACCAGAGGTACTCTTTTTCTAGCTGGTGAATAGGACATGATTTCTATTGAAAACCTTGAATACTACAATTCTACTTTGCATAATATAGAACAGGTTATCGAACTAAATAAACTTTCTGCAATATTTAGAGGACGCAAGCCTTTAGTTAGTGTGTGGGTGGGTGTGGGTATGGGTGTGGATACTTGTTGAAGAAGAACCCACACCCACACCCACACCCACACCCACCCACACCCATAACCACACCCACACCCACACCAACACCCACACTCATACACCTACACCCATACACTCACACCCGCACTTCGTCTGATGTTGATTATGCTTTAAAGATATTGTAGTTTTCATTTCGGAACTTTCAATTTTTGTAATGGATTAAAAGAAAGAAAATAATGAGAATAGTCAATTTTTAAGAACAAATTAGGTTGAAATATAGGAGATCATCCTATGGATCTTATTTAATATTTTAATAAAAGATTCAAGTTAAACAGAATGAAACTACTGGTAAAATTTATCAAGTGACATAATTTTTGTTTTGCTTATTATTTGTTTTCACACAGATAGCAAAAATATACTGAGGACTTTAATAGTTAGTTTTTTAAATGTATTTAATGATAGTTTTAGTAAACTATCAACATGCATAACAAATAATCTAATATTTACTTTAATTAAAAGTCGTTCGTCATTGATAATAAAATGAGGTTATAAAAAGATGCACCATATGGAACTTAGTAAATTATTTGGTCAACTAACATTTATAGATTTATTAATATAATTTTCTTTTTCTTGAATTCACACGAGATATTTTACTTTTCGGATAGAAAAGTAATGTTCATCGATGGTCAATTATTTTTGTATAATTTTCAATGACTAATTATCTACCAGAAAATTTTCAAGATTCAAAGCTTATATCGTTATTCATCAGTTTTGTTGATGTTGCTCTACATAACTTGGAAAAACATCAATAGCTATCTAAATACAGAATGTGGGATTTAAGACTTCGATCGATATCAATGTACTCAAATTGTCGTGAAAGATTCCAATAGTTATAAAAACATTAATTTCTATGCAAATATTTAAATAGTTATAGAAAACTTTAATAGCTGAATAACTATAAACAACTTAAATAGCTGTATGTTTATTGAAAAAGTATCACTTTTGAGAAGCTACGCTCATCCATTTTATTTCTCATTCAGTTATAATATAACAATAAAATTTACAGCTAAGCACAATGGTAGAGACGTTTAAAACAATCACTAGTATAAGATCTTTCATTATCAGAGTATTGAGAATCAATCACATTTGATTTATCAAATAATTCAATACTCACAACAAGAAATTACTCCACTTCCAGTATAAGTATTGCAGTTAGTCTGTTCCTTGTTTAATATTTCAAACAAATGGTATCATAGTCAATGCATGATCAAAAACGTTAAAAACAATAGTATGCCCCTTGATATTCGATAAGATCTTTAAAACTAGCTCATCTGTTATGAAAGGTAATAACTGAGAGAAGAAAAAGATTTCTATCATCAACAAAACAATGTCCACTCGTTTAAAATATTTATTTTAACTAACTCTGACTATCATCATCAACACTATCAGATGCTTTATAACTCATGTACACATGTTTTATATGTTGAAAAAGCTCATACGTATCATTGTAGTCGATCTATTTCCCATGTTTTCTATTATTTTTACCAGAAAACATTCGAATACACTGAGAGCAATAACAAATATCATTTTTTTAATGTAAGTATGACTCACAATAATTCCTCCTCCTTTTTTTGTATGTACCTAAAAAGATTGAGTTCTTCTATTGTTCACTGAACAATGCACAATGATTGTGTTTTAATCTTACAATAAGTTTCTTTGAAGTTAAACATATTTAAATAAAGAGTGAACATATTTGACACCAGCGTTTTAAATGAAAATCTGAAACAAAGTGTATTTAGGTACTTCGTTTCAGTTGACAAAATATCCGTTGGTACTTTGTTATTTAGAAAAAAATTATCTCAACATACCAGAGTAATGAATTGATTTAAGAGAAGCAAAAACAAAGCAATTATGTGTGAATCTTTTAATGAAAAATATATTTCAATATAGAAAAAAAACAATACAACAAAATAAGTAATAAATAATAACAAGAAGCAAAAGAATACTCATCTGATCAACTTTAGAAAACACTTCTCTGATTTATCAGATATACAGGATGTTCCAAAAGTTGCACAGAAAAGTAAATTGTTATAATTTCTTTATTTATCAACACAGATCAATTATCTGTTTTTCGTATAATAGGTATCACCTAGAAGTTTTTATTCATACAAACCAATTTTACAAAAAACGGGAAAAGATATCACTTTCGACTGAAATACAGAAAATCAGTTTCTTTCAAATTTCATTTAAAAACGTTTGTGTCGATGATTTTTTTCTCTATTTTCATAAAAAGGAATTCAATATTGAAGCTCTTTATCTTGAGGGTGTGGGTGGGTGTGGGTGTGAGTGTGAGTTTGGTTTTGAGTAATTGAAAGCCTTACATTCACCGACACCCACATCCACACCCTTCTTGTCTTTTTTTGAGAATGATAACGCGGATAAATTCTCGGCTACGATAGACACCTTTGTCATTGACTAAATTCTATTATTTAAAAAACATCAATCATAAAGACTCAAAAGAATATTCTATTTTTCTTGATACAATCTTCAATATCATAACTTAACTTCCAATAGCTATTGGAAAACAGATCCTACAGTTATTTATCTCGAATAAAGCTCTATAAATTGTAGCTCGTCGAGCACTAAATTTCTCAAAAAAATACTTCCTACATTAAAACCTGATCTCCTCACCCTCTCAATTTTGAACATCTCCACATAATGAACACTATGAAATACCACCGAGCGATTATTTGCTGAAAATGGATCTCTCCTTAGTGAACATCTCCGTATTCTGAACTATGAACGTTTTTTTGCATTTCCATCAGCTAGAAGGATCTCTCTAATGTGAATATTTCTTGTTCTGTTTGGATTCTAGCTCGTTGTTGAGCATATTTATAAAGAAAAAGAGTTCAAAATAACTTTTTGGATATTCTTGTCCTCTAACGTGCATAGCTTACGGTCCTATTTTTTCATTTGTAAAAAGTAACCAATTGAAATGAATTCGTCTCCACGTTCGATTTAGAATTTTCCTTTTTTTTAATGAGCGAAATGGTGAGTTAGAACATTCACTTATTGTGACAATCAATCAGACCAATGAAGATACTAAACAAAAGCAACCACAAATCATCCCACCCAAGCTCTTGAAAGCGATGAAATGTTCGGACGATTCTGCCTTCAATCAACTATCGCTTATTCCAGACTCTACCCACCTGTTGCCCAACTCAAATCCCAATTGTCTGATCTGTATCTTGCAAGTAAAATGACAAAACAGAAGAAATTTGAGAATTTTTTGTGAAGGGAAGTTGAGCAAATGTATGACTGAAAGAATCAAAAGAAAAGAAACAAGTATGAGGGCTTTTTGACCTGACACAGGAAACAGAAACTGTTCTGTGAAAATAAGCGGGACCTATATATCATGAATATCTCTGTATAGTGAACGCTTTTAAATATTCTCGACGGTGTTCACATTATAAAGGTTTTGGTGTAGTTCAATTTTCCTATATACTCCATATGTCGATGCAACAAAAGAGCAATTATTTAATAGATTTTATTCTAATTATATAATCGAATATATTTTAATTTAAATTTACCTCTGACAAAATTCTTGAAATAGAATTCGATTAGGATATACATTTTTAAAATACGAATTCCTTTGAGTATATAATTACATTTTAATTATTCAAGTAATCAGATCAGACTAAAAAGAAACGAAATATTCTTCATTTGAATTCTCTCTTTTAATGTTTTATTGTCTAACTGTTTTTTTTTAATTTGATAAAATACTTTTAACAAAACTTAGATTTGTATTGTTTTAAAATGTATTCATGAAATTTATTAATTTTTCTTTATAAAGTTGATCAATGAATAATTCTAAACATTATTTTTCGATTTTTAATATTAGCATTTCAACTAGATGTTTTATCATTTAGATTCATGACTGATAAATCAATAGTTTCTGCTTGAAAAAAGAAAAAAAGAATATTTCATTGACAAAAAAACAAAAACTATTCAAACTCTACATTGTATTTCAAATCAAATGCTTAGAGAAAAAATAAACTCATTATAATTAGATATTCAAGTTCTATTTAGAAGAATACAACATGTTTTCATTCTTCAAATAAATTCTGAATGTTACATCTGATTTTTTTATTACAAAGAAAGACACAAAAGAGTCTTACCATCTTTTTATATTTCATATGTAAATCAATCATTTGTTGTGATTGTTGTTTATAAAGGGTAGGGTGTGGATGTGGGTGTGGGTGTGGGTGTGGGTGTGGGTGTGGGTGTGGGTGTGGGTGGGGTGTGTGGGTGTGGGTGTTGGTGGGTGTGGGTATGGGTGCTGGTGTTGCCTTTATTAATACCCACACCCACATCCACACCTAGACTCACACCCACGGCCACACCCACACCCACACCTTCACCCTCACCCCACACCCACACCTCCACCTCCACCCCACACCCATCCACACACACCCAAATTAAAAAAAGACGTCAGTATAGATTGAAGTGGCGTATCAGCTGCTTACAACAT